CCCTCAGACGTGTTCGAGAACTTTGTGATCGGTTGTGGTGAAAAGAATGACGGCAGATTCTCTGGTACAGCCGGTTTGCTAGGACTAGGCCGCTCCCCTGTAGCATTACCATCACAAACTTCCTCAACATACAAAAACCTCTTCTCTTATTGCTTACCAGCATCTTCAAGCTCGACTGGTCACCTCAGCTTCGGTGGTGGAGTCTCACAAGCTGCAAAATTCACTCCAATAACCACAAAAATTCCGGAATTGTACGGCCTAGACGTTTCTGGAATTAGTGTTGGAGGTCGCAAACTACTAATAGATCCATCAGTTTTTAGAACCTCTGGAACGATAATTGACTCTGGCACAACACTGACATTTCTGCCATCCACAGCACACTCTGCTCTCAGCTCGGCTTTTCAAGAAATGATGACAAACTATACTTTGACAAATGGAACATCCGGTTTGCAACCATGCTATGATTTCAGCAAGAATGCCAACGACAATATTCCATTACCTCAGATTAGTATCTTCTTCGAAGGTGGGGTTGAAGTGGATATTGATGATTCGGGGATCTTGATCTCTGTGAATGGTGGTCTGGAAGAGATGTGTTTAGCATTCATAGATAATGGTAATGACAAAGATTTAGCAATTTTTGGAAATCTTCAACAGAAGACATACGAGGTGGTCTATGATGTTGCTAAGGGAATGGTTGGATTTGCTCCGAGTGGTTGTTAGCTCAAGTTATTGAGAAAAGTGAATCTAGAGCAATTAGTCACTATCTTTGTGGTTTGCATTGTAAAGTGTCACCTATGGCCTCTATTTTTCCCAAAATATTGAAGGCATCTTATATAACATGTATCCATTGAGGCTATTATATATTCTCAACAAATAGATACTTAATTATACTTAGAGAAAGCATTAAAAAAAGCTTTTATTTTTGTATTTGTTAATATCGAATTTATTTGAGATTAACAGCTTTTTTTTTATTTAAAAATATTTTTTTTTATTTGTTTTAAATTATTTTTTATATTTTTAAATCATTTTAATGTAGTGTTGAATAAAAATTTAAAAAAATTATTTTTTAATTAATTATGATTACAGTGATAAATTTTCTTCTCTGCTAATGGACACAGACAGTCAAAACCATGTAAAACACTTCATTGAGTGATAGGTTTAGATGAGAACGTTCTTTGCTAGAAAGGGTTGGATGAAGTTTTTGAGTGCAAGGAAAAGTCGAGGATGAATACCCCTTTTCCTTGGGGCTGGCAGGATCTATTTTCTTATGGGTCTAGACATGACCCTACTCCCTTTGGAGCTGGTTAAGATCCCTTTTCATTGGGGCTGGCAGGACTCTTTTTTACTTGGATCCAGACTTGACCCAGCTACCTTTGCAGCCAGTCTAAACCGCTTTTTTTTTTTTGGAATGATAGGACCTATTTTTGCTTAGGTCCGGACTAGCGAGCCTATCAAGACCTCTTTTTTTTTTTTGGGCTGACAGGACCCATTTTTTCTTGGGTGTGAACTCATCCCAGCTACAGCCGAAAATCCCATCTTATTTTCCATGGTAACAACAGCTTCTTGCCTTTTTCTTTGAATATATCAAGGAAGAAAAAGCTGAAACTTATACCTGCAAATCTTGCTTACAAAAGTAAAGTACAAACCGATGGGCAGTCCTTGCCTTTTTCTTTGCCTCTGATGACCCAAAGAAAGCCTTCCTCTTTTGCCGTTAGGAGCTTTTTAAAAACTTTTTAGACCTTGTTAAATTCCTTTTCGGCAAGGTAGGATAGACTACAGTTAATCTCCTCTCTGTTTCTCGTTGTTTTCTTTTCTATTTTTCTACTCTCAACCTTCTTCTTGTCCCCTGTTTTCTTTTGTGCCTCTGCTGTGTTTATTTTTCTCCTCCCTCTGTTTTTCTCTTCTCCCACGCAGCTTGTTTATATAGCCAAACCAAAACTTAAAAACCACTCTAACATCCTCTCATCTCAATCGCAGGTGCTAGGGGTAAAATCTCAGCCCTTAGATGACGGTGAGACTCCTCTGTGTCTTCTTTCAAAGCTGGCACAGTGAAGTACAAAACTGTTTCCCTTGTTAATATCGTGTATTGTAGGTACAAACCGGGCGTGAAAAGGGGTGATGCTTGTACATACCGAGTTGACCCGAGGATGCAAAGACGAGAGAATCAAGCAGGAACGGTTGCAGAAAAGGGAAAACCTTCTCTTACCCGCCACTCATTTTCTTGCCTGCTTGCAGCAAGTTTGCTGCATACAGAACGTCAATTCTTTCTGCATGCACTGCTATTAATCAACCCCAGTTTGGGTCGTCCTCGACCCAGCTTATTATGGGTCGAGACGCAGCCCAGCTATCGTGTGGCCGTCCTCAACCTAGTTATAAGCTTTGTTTAGGCCAAGTCACAACCCAGTTTCTTTGGGGGCGAGTCTCGACTCCTCCCAATTTCTTCTAGAACACCACACATTGGTACTTGACTAGAAACATCACGAATCTTGTCCCATCTCGGATCAACCCTTTCCCGATGTTTTCCATGCGCGTTAAAGCCACACAAATCCATATCGACTACTTTTACTTCTGCTTTGATCACCAGAGCTGAGCTGAGCTGAGCTGAACCGGAGGAAAGCTGGAGAAGACAAAGACCGGTCCTTCTCTAGGTCAAATTTGTGCCCAGCAGAGGTGGGCTCATACCACAAGATTGGATTAAGCCCAAACACAATTATTTTATTATATTGTATTATAAAATATTATTTTAAAAAATTAAAAAAATCCAGAAATCTTTTCAAAAATTTATGATTTTTCTCACAAGTCTTTCTACTTTTTTTTGTGGGGTCTAAATATAGATAACAATAAAAAACATGGATTAGCTTTAAAAAAAAATATATTTTTTAATATTAAAATATTGATATATTAAATCAATACAAGTTTTGTAGCTTAACTCAAAAAACCTACAATCTAAATTCTGAGCTCCGTTAAATTTGAAATTTTATTTTTTATATTTTTTTATTTAATGATATAATAATAAAAATAGATATTAATAAAAATTAAATATCATGCAAAGAAAACAAATTTAAATTATGTTAATCAATTTAAAATTAATAAAATATTAAAAATTAAAATTAAAAAAAAATAAATGTATAATTTAAAATAAAAAATTAAGATACTCTATTTTTAATTGTTTATGTGAATAGAAAAGCACCATATTCTTTCTTTCTTGCTTTTTCTAGTTGGCAGTAATAATATTGAAAGATGTGTAGGCTATCATTATAATAGCGATTTAGACATTTTGAGCTAAATAGCTTAAAATATATATAAAAAAACAATAGATATCCAAATAAGGTGAAAGGATATACTAAATCAAGGTTAATTATTAATTCTCCTATATTTATTAATTACCTTGGATGATTGTCTTGACCCTCAAAACTTAATTTTCAACTTGATTTAATCATAAAACATCTTTAAAACATTCTAACAAAACTAAATTATGTCATTTCTAATCCCCAACATACTTTAAAATTACTTTAAAAATTAAATTCAAAAAAATCTTTATAAACTTGATCCACTAGTTTCAACATGATTGATGGATGAAACCACCACCATTAAAGTTTTCCTTATAAGACAAGCACATTGATCCCAAGATTGGCTCTTTTTTATTGGATTGGGTTTAAGTCTATAATTTTATTTAATTAAAATGATGATATTTTACAAATTATAAAGTTGATTCATTTAATTTTTTTAAAATAAAGCATATTGTTTATATTAGGTTTGACTAAATTTTTTTATAGATATTATATATATCCACACATTGAGTTTATATTGTTATTTTCATGGGTGCATATTTAGAGGCAAACCAACAATATGGATTTTAGCTGACATGGCACCCCTAATATTAGGTTTAATAATCATGTCTTGTACCACCATTAAATTCTAATTACCTCCCTTTCCCACCAATAAATAAATAAATAAATCTATTTTTTTACATTAAAGAAAAATAATACAAAGCCCACTAACAAGAACTTTGAAACCAAAAAATTTCCAAATAAAATAAAAAATAAATACACAATTCATAAACAATGAAATACAAAAATAAATAGGGTAAATGGGTTGGGTTAAGTTGACCGAGTTTCAAAATTCCAACCCTCAACTTGACCTATGATATCGATTTCTTAGTGTTTTTTACCAGTTATAATCTATAATATTTACATTATTTTAATTTGATGGGTTACATTAGGTCAAATAATATAAATATTACAAATGAATCGCTTTTTTAAACACCCCTAATTTTAAGCTAAATAGCTCAAAACATAAAAAATAATAGATACCTAAATAGGGCAAACTGGTCTAGTGAAACAAGACTAAATATTAATTCTCATATTAAAACAAGCTATAAGGACTTGGAAAAACATTACAAATACATATTAAAAGCATTGTTCTGGAAAAACATTGTAAATACATATTAAAAGCATTGTTCAGTGAAATAGTATAAGGGTGATTTTTCTCGTCACACCATAAAATTTAAAACTAGGTATTAGGAGCATTAAGGTATTTGCACATGGTTCATTAGTTCTGATCAAATTAATTATAAAGAAAAATCTTTTTACATTTTAAAAGCATGGTGAGAAGACCTATATGTCTTTTAACATATAAAAAATTTAATCCTAGCATCAAGGGGAAATTTAGTATTTTCAAAATAGTTTTTCTGTAATTAACATGTTTTCAATTTCAGTAGTTAAACTTATCAATCAATTCTTTTATTTATGTGATAAGCTTACATTTAAGATGAATATTTACCATAAATTAAAGGTACCTTATAATATCAAACTTATTATTATAAAACATGTTTTAGTTAAGGAATTATTGATACTTCAAGTGCAAAATATTAATATAAAATCTTGATAAAAATACACTATTAAGTATTAATCAATACTATTAATTTAAAACTGTTGTCAATAGGCCTTTTCATCTTATAAAAAAAATTTATTATTACCATGTCATCTTAGTAGCAATTTTAGATTTGACTAAATATAAAAAGTAAATATATATATACACATGTATATAACACTCATAGGCATGTGGGAAAAATATATATATATATACATGTATATAACACTCATAGGCATGTGGGAGGAGCTAATGCACACTACATAGCACATACGATGCCTTTTGGTGTTTGAAAATTCTCTTCCATCATGTCATTATAAACAGCATTATGTCCTCTTCTCGTTAAAGAGATACGTATAGATGTTAGGTGGTCAGTTTGTCTCTAGAGATCTTTTTTTCATTTTTTTCTCTTTTTTCCCCCTCAAATAACAGCTCGATCCTCTTTATTCTTGGTATTTCAAGTTCAAAACTTATTCTTTTGATTTCAAAATTTTTTGGTCCATTTCTAAAAGTTTTATTTGTCTTTAATTTTGTCCATCAATTCCAATTTAACATATTTTACTTTCTAAATTTTATCTATATTCTGTTTATTTTTAATTTTATTCCATGGCTGCTATTTTGTAAAAATTTTATTACTTTTCAATTTTATCCTTCAACCCAAATTTATAATATTATGTTTTTCAACATGGTCCTTATTATTTTGATTTCTATTTTTTTTCATGGCCATTTTGTAATAGTTTTATTTGTTTTTAATTCTATCATTCAATCCAAATTTATGGTATATTATTTTTACGAACTTGGTCCTCATTTTTTTCCTTTTGTTAAAATCATTTTTCTTTTCAATTTCACTATGTAATAAAAAAATTATTTTTATTTTTTATGTTAATTTTGATCCTCATTCTTTTGATATTTTTTAATCATTTTGCTAATTTGATTTTTCTTTTCAACTTCACCTTTCAATCAAATATAAAGTTTATTTTGTATTCAATTTTGATTATTATTCTTTTAATTGTTGCTCTTTTTAATCATTTTGTATAAT